TTAATTTAAAAACAACATTGTCATCGAGTCACTTAGCCATGTAAAACACTTTTATGTATGCGTTAGAATCATTTGGAAACCCATTGGACGATAGTTGTTTATATCTTCAAGGTCAAACACCCAATTAATATGCGTCGCAAACGATTAACAGATAATTGTTTATTTAGGTATTGTAAGAGTTATATTGGAATTTCCATAGCTCATTAATTCCATATACTTGTTGTGTTTTTAAAACTTTAGTTGGGAATAAACCCGGCATTTAAGTCCTAGGATTTCAAATTTGTAAATAACTACCGTGTTGAAAAATGAGTCTTCAACATCGGTTTGGCAATAAAAAATCATTACAACCTTATTTGTGGGGTTCAAACTCAAACACGTTATTCCAGGTAAATAATTTTTAGGCTATTAATGAACACTCGTGTCTAGTTTTAAAGCTAAAACCTTAAAGTTTTTTTAAAGTCACCTTTTAGTTCAACATTTATCCTTCGAGCTAATAGACTATACATTTTGGTATGTTGGCGTTGCCGTTACCCAATTAAAAATAAGACTTATTGTTTTAAATACTGTCGGGCATTTTGGCTTAAAGAAATTGTTTTGCTAAATTGAATCTATCTTTGTAACAATTATTGTAAATTCTTGAAGCCTGTCAGTGTGGTTTCGATTACGTTTTAGTACGCTAACACCGACTGAATTTGTATTTTTAGTTTTAAGGTGGATGTTAGGAATAATGCATTACTTTTTGGTTATGTGGATTACGAGGGGCAATAGCGTATAAATAGTTTGAAGGTTGTTTAATTAACAAGAGAAAAGCATACAAAAAGAAGACTCCCTCCTGAAAAACCGGACAGAGCAAACTTTAGGATTGCCTTCAGCTGAATAAGAATTATGTCTATAGGGGCGCATATTTAATCTATTTTAAGGCCTCCTTGAGGTATTTAACTTGGCTTTAACTATTAAATTTGAATAGAGCCAGATATCACATTATCATACCAAAATGTAGCCAGTTTTTAATAAAAATTAAATAGTTGAACTAACCCGTTGACAGAGTGCACTAATGTATTTTTTTTATGACGAATACACTATTTCTAACCAACCCAAATTGTAAGGAAAACTTGTTACAAATGATGATATTTTATGTATATCCAACTATCACAACAACACAAATGCGGTGAGAAAACATAATTTTAGACTGCAGCACATAATTTTAGATTCAGCTATGTATTCCTTAATAACAAATATGCTACAGCAGGTACATATACATATTCCTACTTCAAGACGCAAAATCAATCATCCAAGGAAAATACAACAGCTTTACAATCTAAAATGTATTTTCCCGCGTTTTCCACTATTTTAAATAAACTTTAGACTCACCCAATCCATTTCAGTCCAACCACCAGCAGGTAACACACACCTGTAAACACACCGGCTAGAACACCGAAAGACACCACACCCGATATCAAGGTACCCGTGGGTACCATCACTGAGACACTCTCTAGTCCAAGGTGCGCGGTAGACTGACGGACTGATGGTAGCGACACACAGGCACTACTATCTACCTCGCTATCACTACGACCTTGCAATCGCGGAGTACCTCAGGGCTGTGTTTTGGGACCGTTCTTGTTTGTTGTTTAGGTCAATACTTTAAGATGAAGAGTTTTAAATATTTATTTTGTGTGTTTTACGTTTATTACAACGTATCAGTAAAATCCGTATAAAATAATTGTATACAACATCAACTCGTTATTTTTCATAATTAATTAATTGGCTCAAATAATGTCTTTTAAAGCGATTTCCTATTGGGATCGGACCTGTTGGTTTCAGTTTAGAAGGGAACACTAACCACTCGGCTACTAGAAAATAAAATGGATGGGTTGAATCATGGATTAAATACATTCTCTTAAAAATATTACTTGATAAATAAATTTCACGGACGTAATTGTACTGAATCAAATCAAACCAAGCTTCGTGTTTTACAATAGAATGTGGATTCCATTAGCAACATCTCAGCCCATCCTTCTTCCTACGACTTACTACTTACTTTCTATCATACTTATAGCTTTTTGTGTATTTAATTTTGAGTGAAGCTACGTCAATTTAGGATCAGATAAATACAGTTTTTGGTCAGGTATCTGTAGGGTGCGTGTATTGTTTACTGTTATGTCTTATCATTTTACCAACTTAAAAAACTGGCTTGACTAATAAAGCTATTTATTTGTAGGTTATTAGCTCGTTCTCTGCTATTACAGCCAATAAGTAAGGCATAATTGTAGGATTTACTTGGCTTCAATAGAACTTAGACCGGTTGCTTCACGGAAATGGTGCACATGATCCAACGATCACACAGGACCAAATGATCAAAGTTATTACAATTACTGTATTTTTGCTATTTTTTTTTGTCCTAAGACGCTAGGCACGAGCCTGGGATTGTTTTTCACATTACTTCAGGACCTAGGGGTTGCGGCATTGCCACTTAGATCAAATCCATTGGTGATTTGGTGGGATTTGAACCTGGGACCTCTTGGACCGAAGTCCCGCGTTCACTAGACCAGTTCGTTCTCCCGACGTATTTTAGCTAGTGAGCCAAGTATTCATCCAGATAGTTGTAGTTATTTTTAAAAATATATCAAATTGAAGTAACTTTACTTTCGTTTTTTAATAATCTCTATTAAACCAATCCAGACAGCAAATTTTAGCTTAAGGAGTTAGCTTAACGTTTTATTTCTAACTCTAACATATATGTCAAATACCATCAAGAAATCAATATATATATGCTTAGCTTGCGATTTGAAAGACATAATAAACATTTCAAGCTGTCAAGCTCCTAGTCAACTCTCTATCTCGTTTCCTCTGGTAATCATCGGTTCGGTCAGGTTGTAGTTCGCAGAAAACTCACGTTCGCTTCGTTAACAATTGTACGTTTCGTAACTTGATGTGAAAGTAGGATTTTTTACGCGCGTTGAGAGAAATGCATGAAAGTTGTCACTCTTAGATATTTTCAAGTTATGTGAATGTGAATATCCATTTGCCAAGCGCTAAGATATAGCGCCAAGACTATTTTACTTCTGAATGTTGTAAAAAAGTCCCACGCTTTGCATTACCATTAGATACATACATACTCCATTATAGATTTTTTTATCCAAAGTTTCATTTTTTATTTCATTTTTAATTTTTAGTACCTAATTATTGACACATAAATAATATTCCATGATAATTATTTAGTTTTGGGGAATGTCTGCTCATAAGTGTAAATAATGTATTTTCACTTGAACAATTTATATTTGTATAGTGAAAACTTATTTTGTAAATTTAAATAACGTTGTTGACTTGAATAATGTTGTTTACTTGCCCGATTTAGTTTTTGTTATAGCAAAAGATGATTTATAAAATTCAAATATAGGTAGGTCTTTTAATTTGAATCATATAGTTAGTTAAGTCTTATTTAATAATACATTTACGTTAGTACTTACACGCTGTATCATAGATAAAAGGAGTGTCTACTTCTTTTAATCTATGGCTGTATGTCCCAAAATGCTTGGAAACAGTAAACCATAGTCGAGTATTTTTATCATAACTGCTGATCCCATCATCATCCCACTTTGAAATTTTTACAGTGTACTTACTAGATTACATTCTTTAACATATTTAATTTTTAAATTTTTCAAAAAACGCTATCTTCAAAAAATATTTGAAAACATATTTTGAAATGTTAAAAAAAGAAAATTTTTTACCAGAGTAGGTTGAGTTTGGTATATTGCCCCATAGAACAACTTGATAGGACCATTAGAACTCATCCTAGACAATACTTTAGATTGGTCCGCAAGCTAAAAACCAACTTTTACTATTTTGAAATATTTATATCGTAAAAACTATGAAAGATAGATTTTTTAAAAACATATCTGGATTCATGACTCAAAATACTACAATAATGCAAAATCTCATCAAAATCCAAGATGGTCAGGCTGAAAAGAATTTTTTATTGGTGGATTTCATTTGGAAATAACCCCTTTATCGAAAGGTCGTAAATTATTTTTATTAAAAAATTGGCTGCAATGTTTACATGGAAATGGACCATTTTATAACAATGTGTGGATGAAAGAGAACCCAGGGAAACAACGAGTGGCTGTAATGAGTTGGCAAAATATTTGCCTATCAATAAATCAATAATGTTAAAGGCATTTTATTTTGCAATAAAGTATAAAACGGTTTGTAAAGTTTCAAATAAGACTTTTAATTAATCAGTATAAAGTAAATATTTGTATTTTTATGATTATTTTTTATTGAACTTGCATAATGCATCGGTTTTGATTCTTTTTGAACGGATGTAATAGTGAAGGCTTCTGATTTAAAGAGCGAAAGATGTGAAGTTCTTTTAAATAAAAATTGCTTGAGAGCAATCACCAAATACTTTTACTGTGATGTTTATTAAAGTTTAGTATCAGCCATATGAAAGCTGGCGGTACCTGTCGGCAGCGGCTTGAACAATTTGCGGAGGTGGGTAATGCAGTTTGATAACACGATAGATGCCACAACAGTTTGTACAGTAGTTAAATAGTACACAGTACAGCCAAGTATAAAAGTATATAGTCAACAATTTCTCCCTCTCCGCTACACCCTGTATCTGTAAATTGGGTTACTGAAATAGTCGATGGGTCACAACAGTTGCTATAGCTCATAAAAAGTCGTTCCATCAGTTTTACCTGGTGAAAACCAGCGGTATTCGACAGAAATCAGTAATTTAGATTAGTGCAATCTGTAGGTGGCTCACATGAACTAAGACAAATTTGATTAAACCTGGCGACAACTTTAACATGGGGTTGGAATGTCTATCAATAGTCAAAGGTAATACTCTTATATCCAATGTCACTTGCATTAGATCCACCGACACGACCCTTTGTTTTTCTCTCCTTTCTCCCTTCTAATTCATGTCTATTCATCTATTCCCCCGACCTGTTCCTAGGTTCCTCCTCTAATCCCTATTCCGTTTCCATAGTTCCACTGACCTGATCCGTCGTTCCTCCCTCATCCGAACCTCTGCATCTCTTTCCAACACCTCTGCGATCTTCTGGCACTCATCATCAGTCAGAGCTGCCACTGAAACACCAGAAGGTACGTTAGGTTAGGTTAAGTTAGGTTAGGCTAGGTTAGGTTAGGTTAAGTTAGGTTAGGTTATGCCACTGAAACACTAGAAGGTACGTTAGGTTGAGTTAGGTTAGGTTAGGTTAGGTTAGGTGAGGTTAGGTTAAGTTAGGTTAGGTTAGGTTAGGTTATGCCACTGGAACACCAGAAGGTACGTTAGGTTAGATTAGGTTAGGTTAGGTTAAGTTAGGTTAGGTTATGCCACTGAAACACCAGAAGGTACGTTAGGTTAGGTTAGGTTAGGTGAGGTTAGGTTAAGTTAGGTTAGGTTAGGTTAGGTTATGCCACTGGAACACCAGAAGGTACGTTAGGTTAGGTTAGGTTAGGTTAAGTTAGGTTAGGTTATGCCACTGAAACACCAGAAGGTACGTTAGGTTAGGTTAGATTAGGTGAGGTTAGGTTAAGTTAGGTTAGGTTAGGTTATGCCACTGAAACACCAGAAGGTACGTCAGGACATGAGGATAACACAAGGAACCTTTCGGAACAACCATCTTCATGGAGGTCTGCAGGGAAATCATTAGACAAGTACTATAATACACCACGTGTCCAGGAAACCTTTATGTCAGATTATTATTCTATATTGTAGTTGTTCTGTCCATGGTTCAACCTTCGACATGGGGCGTGAATACTAAATATAATAAGGTGGGTCTCTGGATATACTGTAAAAAACTACACACACTTACCATGCAAATTATAAAGGTAAATTTCGATCGTACTTATTACTTATTTAAATTAAAATTTCTTGTTTATTTTTAGAATCAAAACTAATAACTTTATTGTAATGTAAACATACATTTTAATGAGAATCAAAGTCAACAGTAAACAAACATTAAACCAAAACAAATCTAACAGCTGGTGTATCTTCAATTTAAATCTGATTAAATGCAGCCTTTTAATCTAAAGTTTGTGACCTTAGGAGAGTGTTTATCGAAAAACTTATATTTTTCCGGATTTTTAACGAAAGTTTCACATGGAGGCCTTTCATTCAAATATGCGGTTGATTGGTTAGTGGTTTACAGGTTTCTCAAAAGTTTGTTATCCTTATTGACTTTATCAATACACAGTTGAAAGTGTAAGTTTTCAGTAACTACTGATCCGACTTTCAAGATGCGTGTGTCAAAAGGGGATACGGGGGATAGTGCGTAGGTTTGTCGAATTCCATCATAGTCTTCGTCTTTTCTAAGAGCTACGCCCTATAACCCTTGTGTAGAATTTTCTTTTGCATGAATAACATTTCGTAATAGTTTATAGAGTAGGTATTTGTCAACTATTAGAAATTAATTATTTGAACAATCACGGGTGCTTCATCTTTATCACTGACCTAGCAGTGATCGCGTTCTACAGAAGGGGAGCTCATTCATTGTATTATACCACACAGCTAGTTTAAACTAACCTATGGCAACTTTATAAGAGTAGGAGGTAAAATTTATTTTTTTGTCTATAATCAATGATGGACGTATGACAGTTTTCAAAATTATAAACTCACATAATTTTTTTCTATATCCTCCCCTTTCGAAAAGCACGGGACAAAATTGTTTATAATAATTAATCTTTTATTTATGAATTTCAGTTAGTGAAATTTATATCGAAATATGAATTTAACATCATAATTGGACAATTGTGATGTTTTTTCTAGTTTTGTTTTCTACTGGCATTGACTATAATTTGCATTGATTCGGATTAAAACTACTATTATGTGATTGAATACATACAGGGTTAGGCAAAAGTCTGGAACCCCCCAGTTTACTTTTTAACGCGTAGCAGTAGGAAAACCAAACTCGGCACACATTTACAACATAAGAAATTGCACTTTTTCATCAAGGTTACAACTTTGCCCCAACCCTCAAAATGGGGTATTTTGGGGGCAGCCCCAAATTTTCAAAAGTAAACACCTATCATGTGACCCCTCATTTTAAAGGGTTTATCAAGAGAAATTGAATGGTGCAAACCAGAGGTCAATAACGCACCCCTAATCAAAATTGCAGTAATTTTGAAATATCCCCTATTAACTTTTTAACAGGTTATAGCAGTAAAACTAAACTCAGCATACCTTTATAAAAAAAAGAATTCACCTTTTGGTCAGTATTAAAATATTAAATTTTTGAAGTTAACCGGGGGTGTCCAGACTTAATCTTGCTTCCGCATCTTAAATAATTAAAATGATTGCAATTTTGATTAGGGGTGCGATATTGACCTCTGGTTTGCGCCATTCAATTTCTCTTGATAAACCTTTTAAAATGAGGGGTCACATGATAGGTGTTTACATTTGAAAATTTGGGGCTGCCCCCAAAATACCCCATTGTTGGGGCAAAGTTGTAACCTTGATGAAAAAGTGCACTTTCTTATGTTGTAAATGTGTGCCGAGTTTGGTTTTCCTACTGCAACGCGTTATAAAGTTAACTGGGGGTTTCCAGACTTTTGCCTAACCCTGTATAATACACTTTAGTTATGTACGCTTTTGTACCTCATTTAGCCATTTCATTGCGCTATTTTACGTTAAATCTATTACATATTGAAAGTCAAATGATCAAGGACAGCTAGGCCCAGTTTAGAATGGAAAATCCAATTATATATCGGAAGATAAACCATCGACCTTTTACGATCACTATAACACTCAAATACCTAACTATTTCATGTACAGTAATCCATACAACAATATATTTAAAAAATGATAATGAACCAATAGAAAAAAATAATAACGAGAATGATAAACTGTTCTTGCTCTACTTATCGAAATACATCTTGCCGTCCCGTTGGTCACGTTCAATATACAGTACTGTGCACCTGGGTAGAAATTCATCATCGTGTGGCTGTTGTGATATTAAACCATTCATAAAATAATTATTGGACGTTTCACAAACTAAAAGATTTATTGCTTTGATTTTATTTTCAAGAGGGCGAAATAAAGACAAATATTGTTGGTAAAACTAGTTTTGTTTTAAGTTTAAGCGATTCAAGTTGACTATACCACTTTACAAAATCTTATGTAGTAGGAGTGCATTACATAGTAAGGGGGTGAGGGATAAGGATTTGTTTGGATTTAAACTTTGTTCTTAGAATGTTAGGTTTAATAATCTAAGCACAAGTTTTTTTTAAATTTTTCTCATCAAACTTCTGAGAATTCTTATTTACCTATGTAGAGATTAAGCTCGAACCAGAAAATGACTAGCTTACACAAAAATATGTTAATATTACTTTTTACTTTCCCTCCAAATTCCTTTAGAAATAACAGATTTTTTTAGACCTTTTTCAGATTGATTAATTTTTTTTTGTCCTAGGACGTTAGGCACGAGCCTGGGATTGTTTTTTCACATTACTTCAGGCTAGACCTAGGGGTTGCGGCATTATCACTTCGATGAAATCCATTGGTGACTTGGCGGGGATCGAACCCGGGACCTCAGGGACTGAAGTCCCGCGCTCTAACCACTACGCCAGCTCGCTCCCCTCAGATGGATTAATAGCTCTACTTGCTATTCTATATGTTCTAAATCTAAAATATTTTCGTATCAGCAATAATTTTAAATCCTGAAATAAGTTAGCAAACTCATTGTAGAAACGTGATTCAGTTATCCATAATAGTTGGGTTTTAAAATATTTAATACTGTAGTGAATTATGATTTAGTTGATCTTAGTAAGTAACATAGAATTTCACTGGATTCTGCACTCATCCTTCACTCAATTTAGGTTATACTCCCGATTTTATCCCCATATTATTGGTACTCCTAAACATTAATTATAAACAAAAGATAAACACATCCTCGAATACACCTCTCGTGCAAAAAGCCACTGGGTTCCCCACAATGAACGAAGCAGTTGATAAGGTAATCCACCATTCTAGTGATAAACCTACAGTCTGCAGTGTGTAGCTAGTGTAGCTAGTGACATCGACAAGTGACAGTAGTGACGTCACTATACTCACTACTCAACAATCAGTAACTCCTGCGACTGCCACTAGAGTGCATGATGACACGGGTCTCTCCTGCGGAATTACCTGCTCAGACCTCAGGTGGGTAATTTAAACATTGTATTTAATTATTAAATGCCAATTGAGTTGTAGACTTTAACTTTTATACAGCTTTTCGTTAGAATAAACAGGAAAAGTGTCATAGGATCGTAGAATACCTGTTTTTTTTTTAAGTAAATTATTATAGTGAGAGAGAAAGTTTAATTTTTAATAGGTTAGTATTTTTACAGAGTTTCGTTTACTAAGTTGTTTTACTAAAGTCATAGTGTACCAAAGTGTATGGAAAATTAATGCAAGTTCATAATATTTCAGCAAGGAAAAGTACATAGGCCTATTTTACACTAGAACTGGAAACATGAAAATGGTGTCAAAACAATCAATGATAAAAAATACTACCGAAATATTTGGTGCAGTGTACCATATATGTATATCTTTTAACAATAAGACATTCTGTATACAGTTCGTTTTAACATTTCATATTTACAGGTATTGTGATTGTTAAGTACTGTATAAGTTCATGGAAACATATTTAAAAACATAAATACAATGATTAGTATTACATTTGGCAATTCAATATTACATCAAATATGTTTATTAAAGATACAAATGACTGTGATTCAGATTTCGACCAAATTGATGTTTAATTAAATTTATGTTCGTGTTATATACAAGAAAGCAATGCAATGAACATAAAGTTGAATAACAATCATTTTGAAATCGCACTACAGACTTTCAACGGTTACACGCTCAACCAACTGTTCTTGAAACATATGTTTCATGTCTAAACAGCTGTTTAAAGTATATTCTTCCATTAAAACCATTATAGCATTTTTACACGTTGGTAACACTGTTACAACAATGGGAAATCCCAGGAACCAGAACCGGTTGTGGTTCACAAACAGCTGATTACCGGTTGCGTTATGACGTCATAAGTTGGCAAAACTGAAGGTTACTTTCGAATCAGCTGTGTTGATCCCCGGGCTAAGGAATT